CAATATAGGTTACCACACACAATCTGTGCTACAGAATATTGGATCCTACAGAAGACTATCAGTATATCTGGTCAAACAAGTCATGGTTCCAGCTCTTTCAGGTAAACAGTTGAATTTATGTGTGAAGAAGACTATATGAGATTATGAATCCAGCCTGTCAGCTGGATGTTATGTAAGTTGATAGTGGCTCTATAATGACATGGTATTATTTACAAAAAATCACTAACCTGGAATCTGTCTTGACATCCATATCTTGTTGCAAACCACTTGTACCTTTTTTATGCTTGCCATGTTCTTCTGTGGCAATGGAATATTCCATCAAGATAACACCCCCACATCATGTTGCAGGTGACATGAATATTGTTCTAAGAACAAGAATTCTATTGGCTTCTATACTTACCATATTTAAATCCCATTCAGCACACATGGAATGTGTTGCAGAACTCACCAAATTCCCTGCAGATGCATCTACCCACAATAATTTAGTTGCAGACAACCCTGGAATGTGCATGGATAGATATATCTCCAGCACCTTGGAAGCTCCATGCCATGACTTGTAGCCACCATTATTCAGGTAAATGAAGGAGCTACATGTTATTATACAGCTATCTCTAATATATATATATATATATATATATATATATATATATATATATATATACACACATACATACATACATATATATATATATATATAAACAATTAAATCATACAAAGCAAAAAACCTACATTATACACTTTGTTCCACAAAATGACTTCTTCAAACTAGTCTCATCAATAGACTCTTACATATACAGATGGTCTGAAGATTGTGTTCAGGCATGAAACAGTGCCCATGCTTCATATATTTACACATGCTCTATCCAGGATATTGATCACTTACCCTACAGTATACCTTAAAACTAAATGTTATCATCTATATATATATATATATAAGGGTAAGAAACATACACACACACATATATATATATATATATCAAGAGAGAGATAGATAGATAGATTTGTATTGGGTGTATTCAGACAGCATTTTTTTCATTTAGACAAGTTTGTTTAAAAAACAATGAACATTCTTTAAAGAAATCAGGGAAATTATTCAAAATATAGAAAAAATGAATAAAAAATCCTTAACACAGCCATTGGCCTTTAACCAAACTTGATATCTCTTACACACACACATATATGTGTGTATATATATATATATATATATATATATAGATAGATAGATAGATAGATAGATAGATAGAGAGAGAGACAGAGGGAGAGTGACAAGAAATCATTCCCCATTATATACAGTACCTCTTAAAATATGTTTAAACATGAATTTGTTAAGTTTTGTGACCCCTAAAATCCATTACATTTCTAAAATTTTAAACAGATATTAATTATTTATAGGTAGAAACTATCATACAGATGATCTCACTCATACTTGATACACACATTTCAAATCAAAATTAAAAAATGCCAGTATGATGCTAATATCATCATCATTTCTGATAATAACAAGATGTGCTTGAAAGTAATTGAACTTTGGACAGTTTGATCCAGATGTGCAAAGACTTTTAAGCCAACTGGAAAAATGTAATAAAACTAGTCAGTTTTACCTAATTTTAATAAAACCTGTTTGTAATGTTTGTGTATATATACATGAGTAGATATTTATCTAGTTTGACTTTGTCTACAAGATCAAAAGGGAGAAAAGGCATAGAAAGATTGTTTTTAATCTAAGCTAGAAAGGCCTTCTTCAAAAATCAGGATTCAAGTCACTTTTGTCTGAGTTCGAACTCAGAAAATTGGTGCTAGCATGAAAGAACTATTTCAGCCTTGATACAGTTATTAGATGAATTTAGAAGTTTGATCTGAAATTTTCACTATTATGCTGATGTGATTAATGGACAAGTATTGACTTAAGTCCATCAACATAGAAAAGAGATCATGTTGAAAAGTACTTTGTGTAAATGCTTTTTTTATGAGGCTACTTATTGATGTACCTGCATATAAGTAAAAAGAACATGGATGAACTTAACGCCTACATCTTCAACACTCAAATATTTCTTACCTATTTAAAAAAAATAAATGAAATGTGATTGAGCATTACATACAATTATTGTATAAAATCAATTTGTGCTATAAAATGGTTATACACGTATATACCCCACTTGTATATGCACACGTGTACCTACTCACTTCAGACACATGTGTACATGTTCGTCAATAAGTCATTTTTGTTGCTCATGGCTTAAAAAAAAACTTTTAATTTTCAAGAGACAATCTTTGAAGGTTATCTTTCGTGGTATAGGCAAGAAGAACCATAGGTAGATTGGTAAGTGCGTCAGAAAGGTATAGGTCGGTAGGTAGGTGTACATTTAGCCATCACTACTGCCACTAACATTACAGTCATGCTGCTGGCCCGAGGTATCAATTGTCACACTAGTAGGAACTACTTTCTTGTGGAAGGATAACTGCGGAATTTCACTTGACGTCACCAGTTGCCTAGTTACTAAGTTTTTCTGTGCCTTTTGTGCGCAAGATTACTTCTTTTTGTAAGGACTGATCACCCAACGTTAAGTTAATGATGATGACCATCGTGATGATGTTGGTCACAAAGCGAAATAACAGCTCTCGCCTCTCGAAAATACATACACACACAACATATATAGCTAATTATTTACGGTAGAATAAAGCTAGTAATGTTCGAACACACGTGTGCACAATTTTTACACACGTGTTTTTTTTTACCTATATGCAGGCCCGTGAAAAAGTGACATAAATTAACTTTATGAAGAATTGAAGATTATATGTTCATGAACATTATTTATCTATCATTCTATACACCATTTTAAAATGTATGTCTTTTTTGTACATACATGTGTACTACTCTTTAGATTCAGACATTCTTTAACCGAGAGAGCGTATATATGAATTGAGATAGACGGACAGAACTGTCTGTATGCGTATTGAAGGCTGAAATTTTTTGTTAAAATAACTATAAAATATCTGAACACCTAGTGAGTGATGTTGAGGGAATCAGGCAAAAATTAAAGAGCGAATAATGGCGATAGATAACAATAAGGGAGAGTGTTAAAAAAAAAAAAAAAAAACAACAATGTAAAAAATAATACAGGACGTAAAAAGAGTGACAGTGAGATAAGGTTAAACATGTAGAAAAATATTTTCCAGATAGGGTGAAAAAAAAAATGGAGGTGTTAGAGATTAACACTGAAGTTGGGTGGGGTGGTTGAAGAGAGTTAGAGAGTAAGGAAAAGAAAGACTGAATGCTAGAAAGAGAAAGGAGTTCTAAGGACAGGAACGATTGAAAAATAAGACGAAAAAAAGATGTTAGATCGTGTAAAAATAAACGTGAAGAGAGGGGAAAAAAAAGGGAAAATATAGCAAGATGGGAAAAGGAATAAAAATTGAACAGAGTAAGAATGTGCAAAAAAAGTCCAGTAAAAAAAAAAAAGGAAGAAATATTAAAAAGGATAAACTGGAAAAAGAGAAGACTGGTCATGTAAAAAAAGATAAAGGCAAATAAAATGATAGGGATGAGAAACGGATGAAAAGGTAGGTTGCAAAAAATTGAAATAGAATAAAAAGGGGTTGTAAGAAGGGATAGATGAAAGACTGCGAGTCAATAATAAAGACATCGCAAGAAAAGAGGGACGATAAAATAAAAGATGGACGAAAAGGGTTAGAGAGTAGAAAAGCAAAACCGGAGGAAGAGTTCGAGAGTAAAAAAAAAAAAAAATAGACAAAGAAGCACGCGAGAGAGAATAAAGGAGAATAATATAAATATATTAGGAGGGAGGAGATAAGAACTCGGTAAAAGGCAAGCTTACATAGAGAGTAAGGAAGTAGAGGGTGACAGGCTAATACATTTAGAATAAAGAAAAAAGGTGATTGGTAGAGAAACTAATAATGTGAAAGGGAGGAGATTTTTAAAAAAATGGGTGTATGTAAAATGTAGAAAGCTAGTATCTTTTCTTATGTACGTATTGTGTTGTGTGTCACAAGGAAGTGTGTCTGTCCATCAGTGGAAAAAGTTCGCGGATGTACATATGAGAAGATCAGAATTAGCAAACTGGATTTAGACAAATACACTTTTACTTATACATATCCATATCTCACTAATACCGAGGAAGATATTTTAGCGTTCGCACACACGAACACACACCAGTGACATACCATAACTGTTAAATGAAATTGATTCCCCTATATACCTATATTATATACTACGTATATAATAGATTGGTACAGTTAAAAGCATATCTCACCTAAGATAAATATGTAGACTTTATAAGTCTTTTTTTTTAAAAAAAAAGAAAGAAAAAAAAAAAGGGGCAACCCACTCCAGACGCGTTCTTTTAACTAGTGTGCCTAATGGTAATACTTGGGGGTTACCAGTCACACAAATTTTAAGAGTTCGGTACAAAGTTCGAAGATCACTTGAAGCTTCCTATATTGAGGACGGTTATAAAAAAATACTAAGTGAATATTTAATTTTTTTTTTTTTTTTGCTAAAAAAAAAAAAAAACAAACTTTTGTTTTAAGAATTGAACATATATCGGTGAAGTCGACAAATCTGTACCCTATGTATAGAATTATTAGTAAATTAAGGATCTCTTAGAATTTTAACTTTTTCCTTTTTTTTTTTTTTCGTAAGAGGTATATACATATATTTTAGCGATTGTGCCTAGACATATGTACAGTGTATATACTAGGTAAGCTGTTGGCGAGAGTGGATGTCTCGCTGCTGCTTCGTGTTCACCATATTTTCCATTGAAAGCCGAAGTTTGCCGAAGGACGAATGACGTCACGTGTGAAAAGAGGAGGAAGACAGCAAGTCCGAGAAATGGCGACTCGGTGATATGTGTCGTATCAAAGGGTGACTCTTCCCCGATCCCTTTTACTGCGATTTAGGAGAAATACAATTGTCGGGCGCCCTTACATATACCTAGATAATCACTTGTTGTTACTTATCACATAAGAAAATGGCGGCAAATATGTACCGGGTCGGAGGTACGTATATTGATTTTAACTCTTAAAAAAGTATGTATTTGCATTGTTGTGCTTATGTATGTATGGATGGATGTATGTATGTATATATATATATATATATATAATATATATATATATATACGATATATATATCTATCTACCTATATATATATCTATATATATATATATATCTGTATATATATATATATATATATATATATATATATATATATACATATATATAGTGTGTATATGTCGCTGCAAGTTTTAAAAACTGGTGATGGTGGATTTATTTGGGGTTGAATCTCGCCCCTTCATGTTCCTTTTTTCCCCCCTCCAATAAGATTATTGTTTTTTTTTGTTTTGTTTTTTTATAAATAATGTCAATATTTGTATTTTCCCGATCCTGGTTCGATTATGTGTATTTATTTTGATATCCTTGTCGATCATTTGGATTTTTTTTTAAGATCGGTATTATTTTTTTTTTTTTTTTTTTTTTTTTAAACTTAAAGACCCCCGTGGCATTATGAGGTCGCTATGACTTGTTCAAATATCCCGGTCTTTTTTTTTTTTTTTTTTTTTTTTAAGGCTTAATAATTATTGTTTTCGCTATCGTTGACATCAAATATTGTTTAAAGATTAAATATTTATCTACAGCATCTACTTTAATCCCAACTGAATTTTTATTTTATTTTGCCGGCCACGTTTTCATCTCCCTTTTAAAATAACCGGTCTCTCCTTCTGGTCTCCCCCTTACTTGAGACTTTTTTTTTTTTTTTTTTTTTTTTTTTTAAGGTTTTTTTTTTATGTCTAATAAATACTTATATTTTAAGGTATCGATCATTATTTAATAAAAATGAAATTATTTGAAATAGGTTGTTTGTTTTTTTTTTTTTTTTTTTTTATACAAATTTTCAAAGTCAATTGAGACGGGGGTAAGCTTATAATTGTTTTCTCGTATATAAAATGAAAAAAAAAATTTTTTCTCCAGATTATGTGTACTTCGAGACATCATCTACCACCCCTTATCAAATACGGCGGATCGAAGAACTCAATAAGGTAATTTTTTTTAATCTCTTTGCTTAAACACACACGCATACACATATTTCTTGCATTTTGATTTATATCATTACAATTTGTTTCAAAACTTTTTCTAGTTATATTTTTTCAACGATAATCCTTCTAAATAAAAAAAAAAATCTTTCAACACAATGTCCAATAAATGTGATTTAAAGGGACAAATTTGTGTGTGTGTGTGATGTATACTATATATATATATATATATATATACACACATACACACGTGTGTGTTTTTTTTTTTTTTTTTTTTTACTCATGATTTAGTTTGTTTTTTTTCTTTCTTTTTTTAAGAATCATTCTTATTTGTCTTCACTTATATTACTTATATTTAATTCCTCATGCCTGTCCGTCGTCTCCTTCCTTCATTGTTGTTGATGGTAATGTCCAATGGCTGCCGCCATATCTTTCTCAAAGCGAACCCGCCTGTCGTCTTATTACTATTACTTCTTCCCCCTTTTTTATTTTCCTTTATAGTTTTTTCTTTTATTTCATTCAAGTTCTTAACCCTTTTTTATTCCTACTAAACACTATTTTCTTTATTCGAAGACCTTACGTTCTACGTTTTAATTTACACATGTCTATATATTTATACACTACATGCTGATTTAGAGATTACCGTGTGTATATTCCTTACACGAGTTCACCATTACCCGCCCTATTTATTTTATTTCTTCTCTTTCTCTTAGTTTTTATTACTTGTCGTTAAAAAAAAAAAACAATCGTTTGTGTGTATATAAATTATATATATATATATATATATATATATATATATGTGTGTGTGTGTATATATATATATATATATAGGCAACATAATACAACAGAAAATTAATGATTTTAAATTTATTTTAAACATTGTTTCTTCTTAGACCCCGAACGGAAATGTCGAAGCTAAAGTTATGTGTTTCTATCGGCGAAGGGACATTTCTAGTTCGCTTATCCTCTTGGCGGATAAACACCAAAGTAAGTTTTATTTTATTTTTTTAATTAACATGTAACTTTTGTGTGTGTATACACATACTGTACCGACTTTTTTTCTTTCTCCTCATTCTTTTTGTTGATACGCCATTTTGTAGTGTCGCGTTGCTTAGGAACTTAATTTAATAAGGAAATTTTGATAAAAATTTACCTTTTTTGTGTATATGCGTATTTTTAATGTTTTTAAGAGTTTCGGATTTTTTTATCACCCGTAATTCGAGTTGGGATATTTATAAAAAAAAAATTAATGGATGAACAGAGGTGAAAAAGGCAGGGATCTATTTTCTTATGTATATACACGTGTACTGTAATGTATTATTGTATGTGCATTCTCACACACAATATTATTTCAGTCCTAACATAAACACGTGAGAATAATACTTTATATAAATGTCTTCAATTCAAATTACCGGTGTGTATGCGTGTGTAGGTGTCTCATGTATAGTTAAAGAAAAAAAAAACAGTTGGTAAGAGAAAGAGAGAGGTTAGAAGAGTCATTGCCAGGGGAGGAGGAAGAGGTATAATAGATAAACTAAAGGCAGAGGGAGGCGTGTGGGAAGGTTAATTACACTACTGCATAATGATAAATGCATGTACCCTTTCCGTCACCATCTCCGTCTCTACTTCATTCATTTACTCACTTTTTTTTTTTCTTAATTTCTCTCTCTTTGTGTTAACTAACAATATTATCAATCATTACATATCTCCCCACTGCCGGTTATTGTTATTCTCATGGCTCCTCCTCCATCCTCACCCCGGTCTTAGTTACTCCCTACACCGCCAACTTCACTATTGATACTTCTTCTACAGCTACTTGCTTGTCTCTAGTAGTAGAAGTAATAGGACCGTTTCTACTAATAAAAGTAGTATTAGCAGGAACGTTGGTAGCAGTATCAGTAGAAACGTCAGGATAAGGACCAGGTGTATACAGATATATGCTGTGTAATTAGGGTTTGACAACGATTCTGTACACTGTTCATCGAGATTAGGTATATAGAACTTCTATATACCTCATCTCTTGTGTACCAACCCACTGAATGATAATATAATATTTACTGTACTATAAATGTGGATTATACCAATTTAGGTACAAGGCTAAATTGTTGGAGTCCCTATGGTATGAACTTGTTAACAAGGATTTGCAAAATAGAATATTAACCCTAGCTCGACAGCAGGTGCTCTCTAAAATGTTTGTCATGTGTACCGGTCTGTTTACTGTCCTGAGTTAGGGATTCTGGATTGGTGTATGTTATGTTATGTTGTGTTATTCACGTTATACAATTACATCTATTTTTCATATGAATAAGAACCAGTAAACTTGAGCATGTCTATAGTTATTGCAAATGTAAAGTTTAATTATATGAATTGCAAGTTTTAAATGACTGTTCTATAAGATGGGAATCTAAATGGGTAAACAATACTTTCTCTTTATGTGAGAACTCAAGAAATTAATGATAGAATCTTGAGACAAATTGAACAGGAAGTATGTGTGAAGTCACCTAGGTTTGTGGGGGCTTAAAATTAACTTTTTGACTCTAACATCAAATACTCAGTGGAAAATTTTTCTTTGAGTAAGATTGGCAGTATTTGTTGTTTTCTTTATTATTATTTTGAAACTGTATGTCTTGAATTGTGGGTGCCTCCTTTTTTTTTTTTTAATTCTCATTTTGGATTGTGCATGTGTTTTGAATCTCTGGTATTTTGTATGTGTATGTGTGATTTGAATCATAGGTATTTTGTATGTGTGTCAGTTAGATACTTTTTGTGTGTTTTGAATCTTGGGTATTTTATGTGAATTTATTAAATCACTACCTTTGTTATGTACACACCCATGTGTCTTACCTGTATGCATATATCTTGAGAGTACTGTGTTTGTTAAATATACAAGACTTTACTAAAAAGGTTTTCAGTTTGATTCCCCAAATCTGACTAAACATCAGAATTTTCATTATAATCCATCTTGGACTAGTTGAGAACTTTGAAGCACCTCTTAGTAATCTTGGCGTTTTGTGCATACAAGAACTTTGTGTTATGTGTGCATATGTACTAAAATCTTGTGTACTTCTAAACTGCTCACTGATCCTTTCCAGTGTTATAAAAGTTTAGACATTCTATTTAACGTATTCTGAAATAGAATTGTGTATTTTATTTCTTGTCACTTAAATTGCCATTTCTATTTACTTCAAATATGTTGTTGTGACAATGGCTATGAACCCGCCTTCCTTGACTCCATAGATTCTCATCATTACACTCAAATCCTCTTTTCTTCAACAAAAGACTTTTGCGGTGAGAAGTGTTTTTTTTTTTTTTTTTTTTTTTTTTTTTTTTCTCTCTCTCTCTCTATCCTTTTCACTTTTACTCACCCCTCCATGATCCTGTCTCCTTTCTCGTTTAAACAAAAGACACTATATTCTATAGGCGATGGCAGCCACCACCACTACTGTGGTATATTTTAACTTCACAGTGACTAGTGATATCCTGTTGGTTGTGTGTGTATATACATCTACCCTACTGCCACCAGTTTTATAAAACCTCCTCCTCCTCCTGCCAGGTCATCAAGTTAACGCTTTCATTATCCTCATCATCTTGAAACTCATGATTCAGTCTGCATAGCTTCTCTCAACTCTCCTTCCCCTCCCTCCTCTGATCCCAATATAAACCAACCGTGTGGCCAGCCACATTTACTGTTACATTGATAATAATATTGATATTAGTCCATATCTAGGACACCATAAACTCCCAACTTTTCTTCCGCATTCACTATAAAAATGGGAATGTAAAAATTAACTTTTGTGTGTTTTCTATATATCACTTAACTTTGACAAGCCACCATGGGTGGGTTGTATTTCTCAAGGGTTTGGGTTTTTTTTTGGTTTTTTTGTGTCATGAAGTCGCAATGCTAGCATCACACCTTCCTCAAATTCAATTCTAAAAAAATCACTCCTTCAGTAAAATCTGTTGGATAAAATTTTACATGGTTTGTCGTGAATAAACATTTAGTAACTTTTTATTTTTAAAACTCCAACCACAGTTTATATAAAATAAAATAATGTGTTTGTGGGAATTTACCTTTTCCTTTTATTTCTTTATCAAATTTCAGGTTCTTTGCTTTAACTCTTATATTATTTTTGTACAATTTTCATGTTCATGAAATTGTTTCCTTGCCCACTTCAGGTGATTCATTCTTGAAACAACTGCTCACTTGTTGATAGTTCTTAAGAATAACAAGTAATCATCTTTCCAATTTTTGTAATCCTACAAACATTTTTTTTATTTTTATTTTTTTTCTTTGTCATTGCAAGTAAAAAGCCTGCATTTTCAATTTAAATTTAGTTAAATATAGAAACAAATCTGAGCAAATTATTTCAGGTTTTCTAAATGTCATATACTGAAATGTAGACATAGCAAGTGAATTTTCTGCTTCCAGAAAAAATAGTAATTGGAAGTTTAATAGCTTACTAATTTTGTGAGGTTGGGTATAATTGAATAGATTCTTATCAAGGTTGGCTATGAGAGTAACAGCTTATTTGCTGCTACTACCTGGCCAGAGTAAGTTATTATTGACAAGTCAAGTTCTCAATTATCTACTTTTGTCTACATCAGCTGTCATGACATGCTAGTGATTAGACATTTTGTCTAAATATTTGTTCTTTGGATGATTCAGGGAGAAGTAGAATCATGCCTTTTCCAAGAGCATTTAGGTGAAGTGAACCTAATTCACTCTGCAACTTTTTTTTTTCCCCACCCCATTCTTCTCCTTGTCCCTTGCTTGTGAATAGTTATGCCATCCCACATCTCCAAGTTGGATATAGCCATTGTCTACTTGATAATACTAAATTTTAAAATAATCCTTTTTGAAATACACTTGAATCTGATCAATGATTAAGTGTTACAGTGGTCTATGCATGATTGTAAATGTGATGCATTCTTTGACTGATGTAATTTTTATCATGTATTTAACTTTTTTTTTTCTTCCCTCCAAAATGCTGTGATGTTATATATTTTTCGTCATCAGCCAAGCACAAGTGATGCTGCATGTTGACAATTTTTTACTGAGCATATTTGGTATTCTTGGATCAGTGCAATTGCCTATTTATTATTAATGTTTATGCATTTCTCATGATCTCTGAGAAACATATTTAGGGAATTTGGATGAAGAAAGTTGAATTGTATCTATATATGAGATGTTAGATACATCCTATACATAGAAATTTTAATGAATCCGTGAAATTACTTTCATATTTAGTGTTCTCAAACATGAACCTTCTCTGGTGACTAGAAGACATCTCACCATGGGTTATCTGATTTGCTATTAATACTGATTAAGTAAGTTCTATCCTCACACAAAATTTAATATTAAATAACTCAACAAGAGTTGATTAGTTGTAAAATCAATCAACCAAAATTTTGTGACTGGATAGTTCAAGTCTCACTAAAAGCCAGACTGTTCAAAAAGTGATTTTAGTGAGGAAGCCCTCTCTACAATGAGGTACTGAAAATTCTTAGCCTGATCCACTTTGCAAAATCAGTATTTCAATGAATGACCAAACATAAAAATGAATTGGACTGAGAGCTTTTCTGTGTTCCTGAACATGTTCCTGAGTGTTGGACTAAAGTAAGCTTATTAAATATCTGTAACCTATATAAATATTCTATGCTCATATTCATACTATCAGGTTAGAGCTAAATAGTTTTATTTTCTGCATGAAAAAGTATTATTTGAAGCAAATGGTTGGGAGTGAGACTGATCGAATTGCTAGATTAAAATACAAATATTACTTTGAAATGACAACTCGTGAGAAACATTAGCTCTATAACTTTTAAAAGTATTCATATTTATGAGTTTACAATTTTGACAGCAAGAATAAGATAGATTTTTTTTTTTTTACCTTTTGAAAATGCTGTGATGCTACAAATTTTTCGTCATCAGACAAGCACTGTGTAGTGCTGCATGTTGACATGCTTTTCACTGAGCATTTTTAAGA